GGGGGGGGAGGTTGGCATCACCTGTTATTGTGACCATACATGTGGTCACGTGGGACTCAACGTGTTAAGAAAGAGATGGAAAACAAGGAACAAAAGGAAAAACAGTAGATGATACCTAAAAATCAAAGAATGACTCGTAAAATCAGTAATGTTGCTCATAGGTAAGGAATAAGAAATCAGTGAATAAATCAAAGCTACCCATGTCCAAAATTTCACATTTTTAAACATAATTGATCATAAATTACCTTGAGAACCAGAGTTGTCACACTGTCGTCCACTGTATCCTGGTTTACAATAGCAGGTAACACGGAAGTCTGAGGCAATGGAGCAGCTTTCTTCATTACCATTGCATGGACACTGAATGCATGACCCCAACACACTTGCAGACAGATCACTTGTGTTTCGATAGAAGCCGGTAGCACATGACTAAAAAAGAGGGGGATATGAGTTTATGTTACTTTTACATAAGTAAGTTTTGGTAAATAGAAAACAATAAATAAACTACATCATACCTCACAAGACAATCCTCCATATCCTGGGGGGCAGCGGCATGATTCTATATGTGTTACAATGCCTTCCCCGGTTAGCATGGAAACTGCTGTGTCCATGGATACATCACTCAGGTAAATCGCATATGTTCGGTCAGAGTGTGATGAACGTATAAGAATGGTTTCCAAAGAAGACAAAATAGTTAGTAGATCACGCCTTGATGCAGATCGTGGACCATTAATGTCTAATCTTTTCCACCCAGCTGACTCTTGCAAAGGTATTGTCACCACCTTAATTTAAAATGAAAAAGTCCAGGATAGTGATTAAGTACTAGTAAGCAGCTTTTAAAAGCAAAATACCAAGTTACAAACCTTTGTTACGTTTGGTTCAGATCTATTGAGATTGGACCAATAGACAGAAATACCATTACCAAAGAGAACAACGTCTGTATCATGTGTTGGTTGAGCACCATACTCAGCACTGTATTTTTGGGTGAACACCAAGTTTCCACCATATGAAGCAACCTTAGCAATAGAGTAAAGGTAAATTAATAAATTGATAAAATTATTATTTAAAGGGTAAAAAAGCAGAGAAACCGTAAAAACATAAGTAAAATTAAAGTTTTGGTTTTGGTTTTTATACACAATGTTTTACAGATACATATCAAATACATTTACCTTGTTCCCTGTAAATGAGTTAGGAAGAGACCAGAAGTAAGTTTCCTTTGGTGGTGAAACAAATTCGTAACTAATTTCATTTTTGGCCCAGTCAACTTTAAATCCAGAAAAAACAACAGGTGACCGGTCACTAAGGATGGAAGGTACACGTTAAATAATGCAATTGAGAATTGAAACAAAATTTGATCATTGATCAGTACAAATAGATGGAGTATCCTTACTTGTCAGTCAGATTAAAACCATGGTTGTTGCCAAGAACTTGCATAGGAATCTGAGTTCGATGAAGAGTAGACGATTGGCACTGGTCAGTTACTCCCATACAGAAGCAACTCAAGCAGCCTTCACTATTGTTAGGGGATAAGTCAAATGTTCCAGGACGACAATAATCACAACTGTGACCTTCAACATTTGTCTGTTTAATAACAAAAATTTGTTTTTAATTTGTTGTAAAAATGTAAAAGTAGACCACTTAATATAAAAAAAATAATTGAGACCTTACCTTACAGGTACAGCTTCCATCTGAATTACATTCAGAACTCAAACTACCTCTTGGATCACAATAACACGCAGGCCCGTGACGTGGACGGCAATCACCTCGATATGCATCTCCTTCAAACCCAGGAAGGCACTGTTCACATTGGTCACCAGTAGTCGAACCCCGACAATCCTGTATGAAGAAAAGTTATTATTTTTACATACAGAGTATGTGTATACAATTTAATTTAGAACAACTGACTTACGCGGCAAACACCAGTAACAGGGTCACATTCTGATGAGTGTCCATTACAATTACATGGGACACAGATGCCCAAATAGAGTCCATCTGATCGTGTGTATCCTGTACTACACTCTTCACATGACAAACCTTGGTGTCCAGGTGGACATACACACTGTTCAACTGACAAAGCACGTTCTTGCCCAGTATTTCGTTCTTCCGCGATGTCAAGAGACACAGACAGTAATCTATTACAACAGGGTAGAAAAAAATTCTGATTAGTTTCATAAAATACTAAGTTATGATAACTTAAAAACGATTTATATTAAACAATAACAATGAGAGGTAAGTTAATACAATTAAGTTTAAGACTTACGCAGCTTCAAGAGTACTTGTTGTGTACGTTGCCTTGATTAAGACATCTTCTAAGGTGGACAACGCCATTAACATATGAGCACGGTCAACTTTTTGACCATCTTGACGTTGCCAAAACTGTTCATAGAGTGGAACTGAAATGTTTTGAGGTCTATTTGCTTCCAGCTGCTCATGACCAAAGTAAAGAAGTCGAATGGCATTAGACTGCAAGAGATAACACAAAATGTATTATAAGTTAATTAAATCAAGACTTCCAGTAGATGATCCATAAATGTAGATACATACACTAATAAGCTCCACATCTGGTGCACTATTGCGAGAGCTTTGGCCTCCTGGAGTGGGCACATAGCGAATTACATACTTTAGGTCTCCACCATATGATGTAATTTTGTTTCCAAGGAAGCGAGCAGGCAGTTTCCAATAATGCACATTATGCACCTATCAGATGAAGATTAAAAAAATATAAATAATAAAGCCTGAAACAATAATGCGTTTAGGACGTGTTAAATGGTTGGATGGTAAATATTTCCTTACATCGGAGCTTCTCCTTGAGAAATCTTGGTATATCAGTTCCCTAGAATTAGGATTAAGGCGAATACCAGATGTAATTGGTTCATCTTGCTTAAGTGCCTCCACAATTTTGAAGTCTTGGGTGTCCCTTGTGAACTGCGCAACAACCTATGAAAGACAAAAATGATATTAATTAGTTCAAAATACAAGAGATATCTAGGTATTAGGTGTCACATATGAGATAAAACTCTACCTGCTGTCTGAACCAGTTGGAGCTACTACACTGGCGAGAGACACCCATGCAGAAACAATCCACACAACCAAACTGATTTTTTGTGTCCAAGTGGAATGTGCTTGCCTTACATTTATCACAATAAGGACCAGTCACATTTGCCTAAAAGAAGATATGAAAATTATTTTTAGAAACAAAATAAGTTAATTAGAGACTCTTTTTTGTAGACTATTGCATGTATACTATATACATTTGATACAGGGAAACAAATTTGCCAGTTAATTAGTGATTTATGACGGATTTGACCCAGCAGTACATGACCATGTGGTGATCATACAAACCAAAGTGCTAACAAGACTATATTGAAATTTTCTAAACAGATTAGAATCCTTATTTCACTTACCATAAAATGAATGAAAGCATTAACAGAAACAAACAAGTTAAATTCAACAATATAGTTTCAGGAGAAGAGAAGAAACAGGTAAGTTTTAATGGATAAAACTATGTTTTCTTAAGAAAGTAATCCCTTCCCCACCCCTTCAAACACAAATACACACCTTACAAACACAGGTTCCTGTGCTAGGATCAAGAGATGAGCTTAATGAACCAGCTGCATTACAGTATCCTGAAAACCAAAGATGAAGTTGTAGAATAAGATGAAAATATAAATATGTGACACACTATACTCTTTCCACATAAGATGATGCAAAAAAGCTAGATTATATAATTACAATGAATTTGAAGTAGGTAAGTGAAACGGTAGTTCTCCATAATTAGTCATTTAGAAGCACGCAAAGATGTATGCCAAGAACTCTAACATAGATTAACATTTACAAGTAAATTTCATCCCTAAAGCACTTACCATTTAGTGATTGAAAAGCATAAAACAGAAAATACGAACAATCAATACACAAGCTACTGTATTTAAAATGTGTTATTTCTTTTTTCAGACATAGCCAAAAAAGGAGTCATATGGTTACTCAAAACTAGAGCTAATTTGAACAGAGCATGTACACAGTGCATATGCACACTATAAAATTTCCATAACGGCACAGTAATCTAGCTTTGATTTAAAGCCTTTGGATACAGAAAAATATATGTTACTCATAGATTAAAGGATAAGACATCTTTCAGCATGCAAAATATTCCAACCTTTAGTACATTTAGAAACTATGAAGATTAAAAAAGTATACAACACCTGGACGACAGATGTCTCCTGGGATGAAAGGGTTTCCCTGGTATCCGCTGGCACATTTTTGACAGCGCCGACCCTCATAACCTTGGGGACAATCACATGTCACTTGACCATCAGTATCTAGATGACAAGTGTGTGCAAACCTGGTACAGAAAATCGAATAATAATAAGAGGAAATAAATTACTGCATTACAACAGTTTTAATTAGGCACCACATTGAAAGTTCATTATGACTGTTGGGACTAACTGTACTGAAACTGAATCCACTTACTGATTAGACGGGTTGGTGTGAGGACATGGGCAACGTTCACACTGACCACTTCCTGAAGAGTTCTTGTAGTAACCTGGAGGACAGGGTCTCTCCTCAGGCATGCACATACCGAGCCATGGACCATGTTCACGTCGATGATGGTCAGCAGAGCACACCTACATAAAAAATTTAAATTATGTGGAGTTCTCCGCTTGTTTGACAAACATAAAATGTGAAGACAACTATTGGAAAACATACCTCACAAGAAAGACCGGAATAACCAGCAGGGCATTGACATTCTTCAACAAAAGATGCCTTTCCCTGACCAACATTTCGAATACCAGCAGAGTCTATTTGAATGTTTGTCAAAGAAGTGTCCAACAAAGGACCATCAATGTAACGAGTTCTAAAGGAGAAAGAAAAACACATTATATAGTTGTTTTTAAGTAAAAACTTCAACTGCACAACTAACTTTGGGTGGCAGTTAGACTTACTTAATGAGTAAGCCATTCACATCTGCAAGTGCCATCATTATCTCTTCTCGAGAAGCAAGGATATCTCTATCACTGGTAGAGCCTCGAGTAGAAGACAACCTACGATACCATTCACCATGGAAGAAACGAATCGATCTTTCAATTTCTTGACCAGGAGATGATGATGCGGAAGCATTGTGCACTAGAATATATCCATTGCCCTATAAATAGAGAGATACAAATGATACTAGAACTTTAGTTTCACCACAATTCCATATCAAAATAAATTTCCTTACACTGAGGATAACATCTGGAATGTCAACAGGGCGGCCATTTCCTTCATATTTTACTGAGTATTTGAGATATCCACCATAAGTCCGTAGTTGATTGCCATGGAAATTATCATGTAGGGCAAAGTATGGATATACATTATCCCCAAGGCGGAATCCATCACGTTCAATAGTTGATGAATAAATCTGTGGATATTGGCTTTGTTCAGACTTAAAGCAAGGTGCCAGTAAAAACTATTGGATTAACAGGTTTACCTGTAAACTGTTTCGCCCCAGATTTCTCACAGATGGTAGGTTATAAATTGGGCCAGTCAAAACTTCAACAGTTTTGGCATATAAGTCCACACGCACACTTGATAGTTCAGTGCTATCAATTGGTGGTGGAAGCTGCCGATAGATTAAAAAAAGACATAATATTTTGAGAAAATATTGACAACAAACATGTGTTATGAGCACAGATGCATCAACAAACCTGATAAGTGTACAGATTAGCACTCTTGCATCTCGTAGCTACCCCAAAGCAGAAACATGATATGCATTCACCAGGGTGCCTTGCATCACTATTAAAGCTGCCAGGGGCACAGACAGTCTTATTTGGAGAAGTGACAACCAAGATTGTGTCAGGAACAGCAAATTCCCTACCACGCATATTCAAAGCTTCACAGCTGTAAGCTCCTTGATCAGATTCCTATAATTCAAATTAAATAAATGGATGGTAAGAACACACATGAAGGGAGCGAGAACATTTTGATAATCAATAATCTTTACCTGAACATTAGGACAAGTCAAAGTTCCAATGCCACGTTCACTAGTGCTGGTGCACTTTGCAGGTACGTGACCCCAGTTCAAGCGCCATACTACAACAGGTGTAGGAACTCCCACTGCCCTGCAAGTTAAAATCATTGTCTCTCCTACTTGTAAAACTTCCATTCGCTTGGGACCTTCTGCAATCTGCACAGCAACTGTAACATTAAAAAAACAAAATGGATTAAGAATGTATTTAAATTGATTTTTTACACCCTTGGCATTATTTGATTTAAAAATACAGCATAAAACTTACAGCATCCTGATTCATCACTTCCATCTTGACAGTCTACCTCTCCATCACAGTGGAAAGACTTGGGAATACATTGGTCACCAGATCGACACTCAAATTCATGATAGCGACATTTTGAATCTAAGGGAGAAGTTTTGCAATAAATGGAAGATAAAAATTAAAATAGAAGAATTTATAAAGTTGAATCTCAACAACTGTAAATTCAGACATAGACAACCAAATCTACCTGGGGGGTTAGTGGCACAGTTCCTTTCATCAGATCCATCTCCACAATCATCATCAGAATCACAACGCCATGTTTTCATCACACACTTTTTGTTATCACATTGAAACTCATTTGGTTCACAACCATCAGGATCTAGTAAATAATTTTTTAATCTTAGAATTAAAAACATAATTTTGAAAAAATCAAATGGTAAATGAAGAAGGTACTCACTGCAGCGCATTTCATCTGATTGATCTGAACAATCATAGTTACCATCACAAACTTGGGATTTGGCAATACACTCTCCACTAGAGCATGTTGCTTCATGTGCACCACAAACTTGGGGAGGACGTGTTGTTGGAACGATGTCTGCCAACAGGATAAATAGCAGTAATGTTATTTTTAAAAAGATCACTGACATTGCATATACCTGAAAGGTGCCTCTGTAAGATGCCACTTATTAGGTATACAACTCTTTGATAAATTTCTTCCCCAATTCAGAGGAAAACAAGTTTAATTGGGTAAACAAAAATTAGGTATTCATTACACTGTGCTTTGCTTGTGAAATTAAAAACATTGATGTACTTACCAATATAATACACAGGAAGCAAGAGACAAAATATTACAGAAATTACACAACAGGTTACTATAAAATCGTGAATTTTAAGAGGTGAAAGTTGTTTAAATATATGAATGTATTTCTACGAGTCAAATTACAAAGGTCAATAAAAGTTAGAAAAAAAGGAGACAGAAAGAAGAAGGAATGTACTGTGTGTCACAAATTTACTAATGGAAAAGCATGCAAAGTTCCTGGAATGCTGCAGTACCAATGTTTTGATTGTAAATTAGAATGTCAATACCAGAGTGATTTGATAATACTTATAGATAAATATGTTCAGAACACTAAAATTTATATGCATTAAGTAATTGTTACTTTTATGCAGGATTTTTGAAATCAACAACTGAAGTAGACCAACAAAGGAAAGGGAAAAAAAACGAAATCATTTGACTTCACTAATTTGATGTACAGTAATTTTGACGGTTGTATAGCAAAAAGAGAGAAGAGTAAGCCTACCTGAGCCATACAAATCAGCGAAAGAGGGTGGTAGGATGCCAAACTTTAAGAAAGGTGAGTTATATGAGTGCTTGTGATAGAGTCCTTTGTCTCTTCCAGCAGCTTGTAAAGGCCACAAAAAAATGCATGCAGTATTCGTGTCGTAGAGAAAGGTATTAGAGATTTACAGTAGACTTCACAAACTGGAATACTTATTTGAATAGTAACTAAAAAGAATCATAGATCTTAGGGTTGAAAGGTCTACAAAGGATCTAAACAGAACTGGACCACACTGGTCGATCCTAACATTAGCTTGGTCTATGTTAGAATGGACAAGCAATTGGATGAAAAAAGTACACAACTATGATATTATTGTGACAAACGGTAGAATTAAGATAAAAATAAAAAATGATCTAGATAGATTTGCTTCAGTACCAAACCATTCAATGGCTGGATGCAAACAATTTAATAATAACAATAATAACTCAAATTCTTTTGTGGAGTCTGGCTGTAACTATACACAAAGAAGATCTAAAATTGTGAAACTTGTGATACTATTGTACAAGAGTCTACAATCTATAACCACACACTTTTCCAGTATGGAAGTAGAAAAAAAAGTTCATATGCTATTTTTAAAATGGTGGTCCAAGTAACAAGTTTTATAGAACAGTACAAAATAACTCCTACATAGTACCCAAGTGCAGGAAAAAAGAAAAATTTACATTAACAGAAGATCACTGGTGTATCAAGGTCATCTAGGTATCTATAAACCTGTAGGATGCAAACTCTGATAAACACCACATCTTTTTCCAAAATTTCCTGAACTTTCTACTATGATAATAGATGTACTTCTTACTTTCACCAAAAATGTTAATACATTGACCACCTTGATTTAATGTCAGAAATATTTGAAGTATTATTGCTCCCATAGAGCATAGGTGTGGTAGGAGACCGAAACACAGGAACATAGGAAGAAAGAACACAAACTACACATTGAAGGCCAAACTACTCTATAAGGTTTTCTTTTAACACATCCAACTTTCCAAATTTCTGTAATCCAAACCCACTCAATAATTTTCGTCGAAAGGTGTGAGGAAAAGAAGTCTTTTAACTTTTACTCTATATGGATGAGCGCATCAACGGATGGTTGGAATAATTGATTCTTGACCTTTCCATGGTCTGATAAATAAAGTCATACTGTATGTTAAGATGCAGAGGGAAAAGTTTCAAGTTTAAGTACAAGGTAGAATATTTAGGTATTTCTGATGGAGCCAAACTTTTATGAAAGATGGTGTGTTTGTGTTGGATTCCACTGATGTCAAGCAATTATTATGTACATGTAACAGCTAAACTGCAACAATATTTACATGCTACTTACATTGTTCTACTCGTAATAAAACCGTGAGCCTTGATCCAGGAATGTTTTCAGGATAACCCACAGCTTCACAGATGTAGTTGCCAGAATGCTCTAACTGTTAAGGAAAATATCATTGAGTGAGGTACTTAGAAAATAGAAGAATAAAAGAGAATGAATAAAGAATATCGTAATGTAATGTAATGTAATGTAATTGCTGTACCTGGATATTTGGCATTTCCAGGCGTCCATTTCGGTCTTGAGATCCAGGAGGAAGAGGAAGATTATTGGCACGAGACCATTTCACTCGGGCACGAAGTGGACCTTCATCGCGGCATTGGAAAACAACCTCACGTCCTATAAAAGTTAAAAATTGCATAAATTATTTTATCTTTTAAAATATGATGAAGGAATTCTTTACCCTAACTTAGTTTTGTTCACAGTGAAATAAAAGTCAGAGACAGCAAGAAAAGTTAATTACACCACTAAAGACATGCCAATGTAAATTTTCTTAAGAGTGATTTAAGTTACCATCCTAATGTACACATTACTAAAGATAAAAAAATGGACAGATCTTACACACTGGCAAAAAGGATCAACATCAGATAAAAATTGAATTAGGATGTTTGGTAAGATACTCAACATCATATAAAATCAGGCCTGATAACGTAGCACATGTCAACCATGCATGAACAGACAAAATTGAATGTAGGTAAGGTATTGTGAATTTAATTTTGATTTTGTATTTTTGTTAGCTTAATCTGCACATGATATACACATATGCAGTTTTCTATCAAGCATGTAAAAGAAACAAACTGATCAATTTAAAAAAAAACAACAACTGATATGTACTATAGGAGACAGCATGCTTCATACAATAAAATTCATTTTCAGTAACAGAAAACAAAGCTCTATACATCACACATCTACAAATCACATGACTTACCAACTTTAACTGAATGAGGTCCATCCACAGAAAAAGAATGTATCACAGAAAGAATAACAACATACCGGTTGTTAGTTGATAAGTAAAGATATTGGAAATTAGGTAGGAATGTCAGAAAACCAGGATGTTATCTACACCGTTTTCACTGATACAGAGTGGGTGTTTTAAGCCATCCTTTTTACTGGTTACAGAACACACTCTAAATGTCAAGGACAAATTTTGTAACTTGCAGCGGACTTCTGTGTGCATAACTGAGTTCAGATACATTATTGTAACTTGCTAGTCACTAAATTTGAGTTGCTAGTTACAGTATTGTATCTGAGCTAATTATGCACACAGAAGTCCGGTGCTAGTTACAACAATTATCCTTAGACATTTAGAATGCAGGATGCCGGCGTGCGTGCGGGCTTGCCTACCGTCGCACACAACCAAGGCACCTTACGGCCCTGTGCGAGCAGATACCAGTCTGCACACCTGTATCAGGTACATAACGAGAAAAAAAAGATGGCTTCGAACACCAACCCTGTATGTGGATTGAAAACATGTAAACTTTACACACCATCAAAGAAAGGTTCACAGACAGGGAACAAGCAAAAAAGAGTCTACAAGGACATGAGACTATTACATTAAAACTTTAATATGCTTACTTTCTTTGATGATTTGATCCTCTGGGTATGTCTTCAGGTTCAGATCTGCAGGGCTGGATGGAGGGTTGCCAGGTCTCCTTGCTGAAATCATTAAGAAGAAATTAGTCCACTTGGTATAATTTTTTTCAATGACTATGTTACACAGTGAGTAAAACACAAAAACAATCAAATTTTAAACCTTTGAACACAAAATGGAGTTAGCAAAAAGAATATTTTATTAAATTGAGTTTAATGTTGACCAAGTAATCAAACTGTGACATAGAACATTTTAAACAGGAAAGTCAATAAGCAAGTCAAACTGTACTGGGGTAGTTTAGCAAGTATACATTTTGGTATATGGCAACACACATCATGCACTGAACAGATCACTTACAGCAATCTAATTCATCACTGATATCATGGGGACAGTCACGTTTCCCATCACACCTCTGTTGTTCAGGAATGCAGGGACCATTTTCACAACGAAACTCTCCTTGCAAGCAAGGTCGCCAATCTTTTCATTTATCATTTGTAGTGTAGAACAAAGTCAAAATCAGCTTCAATATTCCTTGAATCACCTCCAAAGATGTTACTGTTTTTAAACAATACAATAATAAGCTTACCACAGTTTGCTTCATCAGAAGAATCGATGCAGTCTGAACGTCCATCACAAACAGCAGACTGGGAAATACATAGTCCATTGGAGTGGCAAGAAAATTGTCCATAAGGACAGCTCCGTGGTGGAGCGGCAGTTGATGGAGACTGATCAACTGGGGAAAAAACAGAAGAAACTGTTGTTACAATATTTGAACTCATTGGAAATAAAAAACCCTGGCAACAATTAACTCAAATTAAAATACATAATTAAGGGTGGACTTACCACAACTGTTCTCATCACTCCCATCCTGGCAGTGTGGGCGGCCATCACATTGATACACATTAGGGATACATTCTCCTGATCCACATCTGAACTCTCCAGGTCTGCAATCTGCGTAAATTCAGATTGGTGAGACACAACTTCTCAATTTATTAAATAACAAAGAACAAGATAAAGAAAGATATCCTGGACTGGTTTAAATGGGGAAAATAGGTACATTACAGTCATAAAGTGACTTATTAAAGGAAAGACATCAATCTGAAATAAGTTGGTGTTTAGCCTCTACTTGATTTACTCATATTGAATGCAAATTCTGCAGTCTTCAAAGGTTTGGAACAGTTTAATGAATTATAGTTACCAACAGAGTTATTCAAACAGTTTACAGAGATAGTAAAATCTCAAGTAGGACCGTGAAATGCCACATGAGAAAGCAATATATGCAGAAATGTTTCTCACACTTTTCCAATGCCTTATTTGGTTTGAAGAGTGAGAGAATCAAATGCTCGCTCCTTAAGCATGCATCCAATACATTTTCAAAAGACACATAAAAGTGGCGACTAGAAAAATCACCGGAGTCAAGATTACTTAATCTTCTTTGATCTAGCGAGTAAACTATATCATGCATTCATAGTACATATCAAAATAGACATTTAAAAAAAATCGATATTGAAAGAATTATTATGCATATGTACAGTTTTAGCTAAGAAAATATGAACTTCACAACACCAGCATGCCCAATCCTTATAGTCACAGTAGTTGTATAAAAATGCAAGGTATTCTCAGAATTTTCAGAAAACTAAAAATACCTTATGAGGTGAAAAATTAAGATTTATCTGACGAATCTCTGTTGAGCACATACTGCTATTTTACTAAATGCTTTTAAAGGGTAATATGGACTAAAGACTATGGACCTGAACTAGGGAGACCAATAGTAAGTTTGTTCCCATGCATGTTGAGATAGATTCTCAATGAAATGTTCTTTCAAATTTTGAAAAACGAAATTAGAAAAAGGTTTAAACTACAAGATATTTACAGTATATGTTAAGAGTGATAAGTATAACATGGTTTTTCCTTTAACTATTTACTTCTTTTGAATTTTTTTCTTTTCTGTACAGAGAGAGGGTTTGAACTATCAACTTAAGCCATTGCAAAATGCCAAATTTGGAGGCTAATTTCTCCTATCATGCTGAGAATTTCATGCACTGATTGGTATGCACAGATGGCAAACCTTCATGTAAATAGTCATGACTTGATCAGCTAATATGGCAACACCGAATTTGGGGCATATAGAATGATAGTTTAGATAGATTAACACATACAGCACCAGTAATTTCATGATACTACCCTAGTAGTTTCCATTCCAACCCTCCATAACCACATGTGGTTGTTGGCACAGAAAGTGATAATGAAAACAAATGAACTGTATAAAAGAAACACTACTTGTGGTAATCATCCGAAATGATGCCGACTTATTTTTGTTTAATAGGCCTGCTGCAAAATATTTTACTCTGAATAGAATATTTCAAATGTTAATCAGAAGAAAACCCTACGGAACCCTAGCCCATCATTGCCTAATAGTTTGATTAAAAGACTAAATAATTTTTATGAGAATTTTTCTTTATGGAGTTTGGTCCAAATATGGAATGCTAGTTTCTTTACAGTACTACAAACCCAGAAAATTACACCAGTTAAAATATGGCTATTTGAGTAGTATGAAGTATGGTACAGCAAATGGTAAGATAAGATGGACTAGATACCATATCATAAAATTCCTAAAAAATAAAAAAAACCTAAGAAATGTTATACACATTCCAAGGATGCGAAAAATCCATTAATTATAAATTTATAACCATCTGCTACAAAAACACCTCTAACCAAAGCAGTTTTGCTCATCAGAAAAATCCCGACAGTCGTAGAAATTGTCGCAGCGGTGTTTCAGACTAATGCAAACACCAGCACCACATGACCACTCTTCATCCAAACAAGTTGAGTCGAGGTCCAAACCTGAATTGATTCCATGTCAATGAGGCACAGACAAAACAGAAAAGATTTATATGCTGATGGAAAATACAAAATAGCCCACTGTTCTGTGTGAGTTGTGTCATGTGAACCATCCTTAAGATACACTGTCAAATGAGCATGATTGTAGCTTTTGATGAAACAAGGAAATTGTGCTTGAAATAAAATAAGAGGAAGTGCTAAAGATATTGGTGAGCTGAAGTTTCAGTTAAAACCAATGGTTTAAGCTTCTTCTAGATAACTTACCACAGCCAATTTCGTCTGATCCATCTCTGCAGTCAGGTATTCTGTCACATTTTCTCCTTAGATCAATGCATGATCGATCGCTGCATGTAAACTCATTACCACCACAAGTTGGCTCTGAAATAGCAAAAAATCTTATGAAAAGAGAGTCTAAACTAACACGCCTAAGGAGAAAAAAAAATGTTGAATTTATAGTAGGGAGGAGTAGGGTATTTAATGTTAGTTAAAGCATGATGATATTAATTGATAGATATCTATACATAGAGAAAGAAAACAGGAGAAAAAGGTGTTTGAAAATTTAAGATATAAGAAAGAAACCCACCACACTTAAATTCATCTGACCCATCAGTACAGTCCTCTATGCCATCACAAAACGCGGAAGAATCCACACAAGATGAATCAAAACATTGGAACTCATTAAGGCCACATGGTTCATAATCCTCTGATGAATAGTCATCGGACTCTTTATAGTCTAAATCTTTTTAACCATGGGCAAAACAATAAAATAAATAGAAAAACACAAAAAAATAAACAAAACACGAGGAGAAATGAGGAAAAATAAATAGCATTACACATGCAAGACTTATTTCATGCAAAGAAAAAATGTTGTCAAAAACGTGAAATAATCTTAAGGGGGCAAGTTTGGCCACCAACAGTTTTGAAGAGATCCTTTTAGTAGACATAGAAAATTGCCACTTAGAAGTTTGACTTGAGGATTTTATAAATACAACAAATTATCAGTGGCACATGCAATTGAATCAAGCTGAATGTGAATGGCAAACAATGAAAAATAGGGGAGGAGTGAGAGAAAGCAAATTATCTCTGCTCACAGAGTAAAAAGGCAAACAAGGATCATAGAAGCTAAAATTACTGGTGGCACTTTGACAATTTTGGTATTTGATTTTCTAGAGGATGAATTTTAGACTAGTATTTAATGCAATCCTAGTACCATATATGTACAGTGGTGTTTTACTTTAAAATGATCTAAATGCCCTCATATACAGATACTTTTGAGACATGTGCTTACCACAGCCATCCTCATCAGATCCATCAGGACAATCAATTGTACCATCACAGGTTCTTTCGCCATCTAGACACTGGCCATTGGTACATGTAATTTCATTGGGAGCACACGTTGCTGTTTGATATGCCACCAACAATCCCCAAAATCAGAAAATAAGCAGCACAAACATGCAAAGGTGAATAAGAATTAAAAATGTAATAAGGCAGTGCATAAGTGAATGATCACACACTAAGTGTCTGAATTTAGCAGGATTGCCAAATGAGACAATTTTGGAAGGACAAAACAAATGCTACCCAAGAATTTTCTTTTCGGAATTATGAGCGTGAAGTATATCATATGATTGACGCAAGATTCATCAAAACTGGAGAAAAGGCAGTACATAAATGTCTTGTGATTTTGAATTTGAAATAGAAAGTATGTCATGACAGTAAAGTGCATTGAGAAGGATTAGTAGATATGGGAGTACAGGTACTGCAGGAGAGCTAATATTTGAGGTAAGAGGGGGAACATCAGAAACATAAGATGAATTGATATATACCACAAGATTTCTCATCACTCCCATCAAGGCAGTCTCTGATTCGATCACATCGATATATCTGCCGAATGCATTGGCCGCCGTCTTCACAACGGAATTGATCGGGTTGGCATTGAGGCGGGTCAGTTATACCAGAGCCGGACCCTACAATGTGCAACACACAAATTTGAAAACAAAACAATAAACACAAGAACAATACAAAGCTAGCATAATTGGAACAGGCAGCTTCTTTATGATAAACCTAACATCAATGGCAGTAGCATTTAAAACTTAGGAATATTACCCAGCCTTGGTTGAAATAAGGTGTGCAATAGCACCAAAAAGTAGATAAAAATTAAGTACTGTATGGTCAATCAGTAAGGTCACATCATGAAAACAATGAGATAAAACTCTAATCAATAGAAAACAAATTTGATAACATTTTGTAAAATAAATATACATAAATACTGGGGTGATCGAGATAAAACACACAGGATGTATAGGAATAAGCTTATTAGGCTGCTCTTCTGTAAAGTAAAGCAAGTTTGTGAGTTAAGGAAACCCCCTACGTACCATGGCTAATAGAACAGTTTCTTTCATCATCACCATCAGCACAGTCAGGTACCCCATCACACTTTTTGGCCATGGATACACAATATCCGTCAGAGCAAGAAAAGTCTGATGCAGGACAAGGAGCGACAATATCTAAACAAAAGCACAATGCACACAAAAATAAACAAAGACAAAGTGAAAGAAATCTAAAAGCAGTGCAGAGCTTTTACTCTCATTCACTGACAATAAGTACCCTTGTGGTAATTTATTTTTGTGCTCATAGCAGAGCTTAAGATAATTTTTAAAATTAGCATAAAGCAAGCATGAAACAGTGCAGAAGCCTATAATATCTTTGCATTTTCTGCCCAGTGCACAATGATAGCAAAATATTGATGCCAAAATAATATTTTCAAGTTCAAGCTAAGCTAACTCCCTTAGAATGAACAAATCAACAAACAAACAAAAGCTAAGTGAACAATATCTTCCTGGGAAGAGAGTGTGATATATTTCAATATCCTGGCAGAAAGAAATAGCTTGTTGAAGGTCAATGAGGAGGGTAGCATGGTGACCTTTCTGGATTCATTTAATAACCCCTTGAGCACAAATCAATGAAATGAAAAAAAAAAAAAAAAATTAAAAAAAAAAACACAATAAGTCTGACATGATGACATTTCGGTCATGCTCTGGTGTTAAGTACCACCCTTTCTAATAAGTGTTTGACTAGGTAAATTGCACAGTCTGTTTCTATCCTGTATAATCACTTAAAAACTTATATGTTACAGGTAAAGTCCGGGTGTCAGGGAATGTCCGGATTCCCTAGCCCCGGTAGGGAATGTCCGTTTGGGACGACTGAAACCGGGCATTCACTAGACAATGCTATCCATGTTAGACATTCACTGAAGGCAGTCAGGGAATGTTCAAAATCGGACTTTAACAGAGGGGGTGGCCAGAAATGTTGGGGATGAAAGTTCAGGTATATGGGTGTATGGGGTATGGGGGTATATGGGAATCCAGACATTCCCTGACACCCAGACTTTACCTTTAACATATATAGCCTAACAGTTAAATTCCACTGTATGGTGCATTTATAAATACAATGTATTAAAAAAAATTGTCATTTGACAAATTGTTTATATTATACCGTAAGTGTAAAGTAAACTTACCACCGCAACCATCTTCATCACTTCTATCGTAGCAATCAGGGTAACCATTGCATCGTTTTGCTTGATCAACACATTGTCCATTATTGCAGAAGAATTCATGGTAAGCACACTGTTTTGCTGCGAAATATATTGAAATTACAGGTGGAACACTTAAAATTGTAGCTTCTCTAAAATTAAAAATACTTACGGCAATTTCTTTCATCTTCTCCCTCTGGGCATTCATATAATCCATTGCAGCGCTGAGATAAACTGAGGCATCTACCGTCAGAACACTTAAACTGGTCTGATCCACAGACTGTAGAAAAGAATTAGAATTAGAAAAATTTAACAGCTCAGGTCCTTACACACAGACATTGTCTATCATACATTCTATTAAAACATACATTTATCACAGTCATCCTCATCAGAGCCATCGGCACAATCTATTTTCCGATCACAGCGATGAAGAAGTAGAATACAAGAATGGTCACGGCATTGGAATTCTTCTTTAAGACAACCAACTGTGGTAAAGACATTTCTTTTTTAGAGATAGTCATATGTATTTAAAAAAAAATAGTGTAAGCAAATTCCAAAATAGAAATTACAGTATATCAATAGAAAGACAGATACAAAATTACATCCAACAGATTTGCCACAGAAACCAGAACTAAAATGCACAACTCATGCTAAGCTTTAAACAGCAGCTATTGAGAAAACATGCACGCAAAGATGCTGACAACATGCCAAATAGTTGAATGATGAAAAAAGAAATACTTAACAGATTTCAGTAATGGTTTTTATTCTTCTCTACAACTGAGTAGAAAAGAAAACAGAAAGGAGATAGCCACAGGTAGACGACAAAGATAGATATATTTAAAAAAACACAAGAAAATATGTCAAAGTATTCAGAAATACACATAGTAGAGATAGTTGTATTCAGGTAAAAGACATAGAATGAGAACTGCTGTGAAGCCCATAGGACAAATGTAAAAGAATTAACATTGAGATAGGAATGACGCCCCCCTTGCCCCTCCAACCCCTTACTTTCCACAGAAAAATGTGGGAATATTCAGAGATCACAAAAAAAAAAAGGAACACCACATAGACGTAACATTAAAATGTGCATACTTTTACTTTCTGGACATGATTCCTCATCGCTTTTATCTTGGCAGTGAACCGTTCCATCACACCTTAGATTTGCAGAAATGCAGACACCACCACTTCTACAGATAAAATCACCTGGTTTACATGCTGTAAACATAACAAAATGCAAATATCCAGGGTACACCAAATGTTCTGCCAATCATGCAAAGGTGTCATGCAGCTACAGACTTCCACCTTCATTACAATAAAAATAAATAATTAAAATTTGTGGAATGTGACATTTTCTAATGAAGCCTATTGGTTGTCTTGAAAACAAAACAAGAAGTAAAGAAGTAGAAAAGCGGGAATAAACTTGTCAGCTTTAATTTGTTGTACTATATTATGAGGTTCAATAGACTGTAATTATTATGCATTAGAACAATGTCACATAATGAGAGGAAATTTTTCAATGATTTAGGATTGAGTTAAGTCTTTGACCATTCTCTGAACTTACGGCAATTCCTTTCATCAGACTTGTCTGGACAGTCAAATGCTTTGTTACACCAAGCATGGGAGGGGATACACGTTCCATCAGCGCAGCTTTTTTCATCCTCTCTGCATTCTTCTCAAGTGAGTAATAAAATTAAGTATTAATGAAAGTAAAAATAACACCTCAGCCTCTTAGTTTTATATCCAAGCAAGCATAAAAAAAGCTCTTATCATGCTGTGTAGTAAGTGTACTAAAACCTTAATTTATGTGCAATATACATAATAAATACTACCACCACAACTTTGAAAAATGCATTAGCAGCTGGCACTCACTTGTGCAACTGTAGAATTACATTTTAATAGTTGGCCAAACTTACATCACATTACAATATGCCATGCACACTTACTGCCAAAATTCCCTATATTAAGAATAATTTATTACATGGTGCAGGATTTTAGATGAAGGTACTCACGATGAGATTGGGAAGGACAGTTCCGTTCATCTGAATCATCTCGAAGACAATCCATTACCCCATCACATCTTTTGTGGCTTTCAATACATCCTCCATTTTCACAGGTAAAGTCTGTTGGCCCACAAGCTGCAAATCAAAAATTAGATCAGTCTAAATTTTTAGTATGCTTGAAAAATTTCAATGACATTTTACCAATGATATTTTCCCAATTAAACATGCACACAACGCTGAAATCTATCTGGTTCTAATACATTGAGTGCAATGAGTATTTGACCCCATGAAGAACCCTGGCACTGGGACTAGAATATAGTTTTACAGTTCCATGGCACTCAATATGTTAAAGTACTCTATAAAGCTCTAACACAAAATAAGTGTGAATTGCATGCACATGTAAATACTAAATGAAAATAAGCAAAAGAATGACTGCACTACAAGTGGAGTACATACGGCAGTTTTCCTCGTCATCTCCATGTTCACAGTCAATAGCTTTGTTACAGCGTCGGATATCCTCAATACAACGACCATCTCGACATTGATATTGGTCATCATCACATATGGGCTCTGATAAAGCACGCCAAAAAGAAAATATAAAGCAAACACTTAACATTTATGCAAAAAGAGAAAAAAATCAGAAAACAAGCCATAGTCCCGAAAGGAAATTACATTTTCTTATTTAGCACATAAACTTAAAAACAACAGAAATATTTTAATTATTTTTTAAGATCTCTGAAAATAAAGTTCTCATACCCGTCAGGAGATGAAATTTGAGGTATTTATCAGATAAACTATTTAAGCAAGTTCATATCCGTACAAGAAAATTTGACATTTGAACTTCAGCTCACGAAAGCAAAAGAATTGTAAAGTTAAAATAGGAACACACTTAAAACCAAAAGAAAGGACTGAAGGAATCCTTATGTTATATTTCCAACGTTAAAATTATTCAGGAAGTCAGGGCATGTTGAGGTGAGAAACATAGCTCTTAGAAACCCGCATTTGTAGTGTTAACCAATCCATATGAGAGTATCCATACAAGAAAAAAATCAAAAATTGCTAAATGAAACAAAAAAAAAATCAAAAAATAAAGCATAAATAGATTACAAGCCCAAAAGAAACGAATACAAAATGAAGACCACGCTACAAAGCACGAAGTTCGGGGAAAAAGAGCGTTTAAAGCAACATCAAACACTTTCAACTTTTCAACAATAAGCTGCCCCCCTCCCCTTCGAAAATCGGTAGGATGCATATTTTTTTTTCTTTTCTTTTTTTTTGCTGCTGTTGACAGCTCCCATACAGATACCCTCGACGTCGGACGTGGTTTGGCCCATGCAGCCGCACGGTCTCTCACCTGAAACAGGCAAAAGGGAAGAAAGTTGTCAAAATTGGCTCCGGCAGAAAATCGCAAGACCCAACAGATTCTGTTCGATCAGATTCAAAATCCGACCCAGAGCGGGGCTCATGTTGCTCCAGGTCAGATGAGGCGGGTCGCGACATCCCGAGCCTAGCCTCCTGGAAGTGGTTCGCGTGCAGCGAGCCTCCGCGGGGCGCTCCGCGGGGCGCGCGGGCAGGGCTGCGGGGGGCGACAGCCGGCGAGAGCTCACCCCCCCCCCACTATAAAAGGCTCACCCAAAACACGCCAGGCAGCGGAATGACGCGGCGTGCAATAAATCTACGGGATGACAGAAAATTCGTACTGACGACAGTATAATATACTGCACTGTGGGAAATGGGCGGCGCAGCGCGACACACCGCGACTGGTGGCGCAGGGGAGGAAAGGGGGGGGGGGAGGAAGAGAGGGAAGCAACGAGCAAAGCGCCGCTAGCTAGCCAGCCGTGGCTGGATCGACGCCCGGTGGGTAGGCAACACAACGGCCACCCGACGGAAGGAGTGGCTCTAGCAGCTCTAGTGGGCCCCAACGGGAGTTTTGTTTAGGGGATCGCCGCGCCGCCCCCCCCCCGCCACCCGAAGTCGGCGCACAGCGTCGTGCACGTCCATAATGAAAAAGCAGGTCGCCCTGTTCCAGGATGGGCCGGGGAAGGGGGGGGGGGCATCCCCGGTCGAGGGGCCGGGGGTCCCGCGGCGGGCTCCAGTAGGCACTTCATTTAGCGCAGTAGGGCGGCCGCTTGATTGCGCAGCCCCCTGCATGTGGCCAGGGAGCCCAGCGGAGCCCAGCGGAGCCCAGCCCTCCTGTAACGATCATAATTAATGCACCTTAATTTCCTGGCCGTTCACTGCCTGGCCGTCGGCGGCAGGAGGCAGCTGCTGCTGCTCCGGAGGAGGGGAGTGGAGGGAAGGGAAGGCGGCGGCGACAAGTTTAGAAGCCTACTCCGGCTCGACTGGGCGCACCGGCGCATCAGTCACCGCCGCGCCAAGTTTTAAACCCTGTGGCCCGTGGTGACAGAGGTTCTAAATCCTGTGGCCGGTGGTGACAGAGGTTCTAAACCCTGTGGCCGGTGGTGACAGAGGTTCTAAACCCTGTGGCCGGCGGTGACAGAGGTTCTAAACTGTAAACGCACGAGGTGAGAGGCAGGGCGCGGGTGGCATGTGGCGCGCACAAGCAGAGCCGCGCCGAGCACTGAAACAGACGTGAGCGCCAGGGGAAGGAACAAGGGGTTTAGTGGAGGGTGCGGTGGGGCTCGGGCGGGGAGGGGCACGGGCATGTCGAGGCGAGCATCGGGTAGATCACACAAATCCCTGGGCCACGTTGCACGCCCGACACGCTCGGGACGCTCCTGCTCCCCCGGAAGCGGAGCTCTGCCGCCCCCTCTTCAAGCACAAACGCTGCAAATTACAAATTCCCTCCCGCCCCTCCCCGCGTCCTCTTCTCTCCTCCCCCGCCTCGTCTGGCCCGGGGCCTGCTGCTGCACGCCTCATTCAAGTGCCCGATCCAATAGCTCTGGCGCTCCCCCACTACCCCCACCCACCCCCTCGCGATGAGAGAGCCACCTTGGCGAAATGTTTGGGGGTGGTAGGGGGGTTGTTTGGAGGGGGGGGGGAATAAAAAGTAAGTCTGCTGTGCTGTATGGGTTGTTGGGCTGTTGGGCCGAGGGAGCAGGGGAAGGAGCCGGGCGTCCTACAGGAGGAGGAGGAGGGGGTTGTAAACCAGTAAACCATCCCATCAGTTAATGATCCAGACCGACAAGGAGCCACACCGGGTGGGGGTGGGTAACCCCTTCAGGTGCGGTAACATCATCGCCGGCAGGGCGCCCGGCGGGCTGCATTAATGGGCGGCCACAACGCGTTATTAGACAGGAGGGGGGGGGAGATATGTTAAAGTACTCTATAAAGCTCTAACACAAAATAAGTGTGAATTGCATGCACATGTAAATACTAAATGAAAATAAGCAAAAGAATGACTGC